GTTGGTATATATAATTGTTTTGTGCATTTATGAGTTGTTCTCGCTATTAGTTTTCATTATATTCTTAGTTATTACTTAGTTTAAGTACCGTGTAATTAGTTTAAGTAACGTCGTGGAATTTTATCATGACAGTTGACAATAAAGACAAATATATAGAGTAGCCAACTTTTAAAAAATGATGTGCTTCGGATGGAATCCATATCTACCATTTTCCATTTTCAATAATCGAATTATTTTGAGAAACGCTATTATTGAACTTATCAACTGAACCAAGGTACTTCGTAAGTATTTATCTATCCCAATTTTATTTCCAGGAAGTCATTTGGAAGCCATAATTGAAGCAAGTACGAAAAAAGAAGAAGTAACTACAAAAGTGCAGACTCCAAACAGATTTTTAGTGGACCTGCCTTGCAATCCACCTCTGAAGAAAATTCGAGGAGTTTGCAGACGAACTAATTAATGAATATCAATAAATACAGAGGCGATTAGTAGACACCAAAATAAAATATGATTGAAATATCAAAGTACCCGCTGCAATTACAATGAAAATATGGTTATTAAGACTAAAAGTAGTGAATTCGTTCTCTTCAAAAACAGTTATCAACAAATGATAATTTTCAGAGTTTAGCCGAAATTTGAAAAATATACTTGTTGTATAATCACAAAATTGGATTCATTCCATTTCCGTTGCATCCCGAATATTTATTTTACTTGTAAATTTTATCTCAAACTATATATGAAATATTTGTTACAAAGTTTAAATCATGTCAGTTATCTGAAACAATTATTCATAGTTATTTTTTTTATATTTGATTCACTAACACATCTATTATTTGCTTATACTTTTTCATTCACAAATCATTAATTATCGAATCCTGCCTGCAATAAACAAAAATGTAAATTCACTTCTACAAAGTTCAACCTTCAGTTGCTCACAGTCCTACATTTTAAATATTGTCCAAATTAGGAATATGTCGTATTTGAGATCAAACACTTTATACTCAACATGTAACCTGACTAATATATACGAAGTATCAGTTTTTTGCTTCGTTTTCTTTTCTTTGATGGGCTGGGTGTGCGTTAGTTGTAGCTGAGTTATTTTTGACATTCATGGATGTTTCCTTCCCTAGAATAAAAAACGTTTTTGAAGTGAATCAAATATGGAGGGCAAACTGATTAATTTTCTAAGGAATGAGTCTGGAAAATTTATATGAAAATCGACACCCTCTGGAAAACACGCCAGGACCACCACTATCCATTTCTCAGATCCGTGAAAACATCGAAAATTGCACTCAAAACTGATCTATATATTCAATGTCTATCAAAATTCAGTGACAGTTACAATAAATAAGTACACTGTACGTCAAAAATCCCATTCCCTGTTCAGCTCATTCTGCATAGGTTTTCCAGATTAACGTTTTCAAGGTTAAAGTTTAGATGTTTTCGTTCCTATGGTTTTGAAATCTCGCTAGTATACTTGACAAGGTCAACTCAACGTTTTTTTAACTGACAATATCAGAGCCCAAAGGCAATATATCCTTGATTCAATACCAGATAACGCTGTTTTGATCTGGAACAGATCTCATCTGGATGACGTAAAATAGATACTTCATTTATTGGTAACTATAATTGGAAATGAAATGTGGGCGATAAAGCATATAAACTTTGAAATCATAGTCTGAACCAAATGGGCTTCAAATTAAAGGACTCAACGGACTTAGAGTTGGCAAAAAACAGACAACAGACAGAAAGTAACATTTTAACATACAATGAACATTTCACCATAGTTGACTAGAGAAAAGAATGTCCCCTGATGGAATGAAGATTTGGCATGTATGAGATAACAAGCAAGAAAAGCCTTCATGCACGCAAGGGAATCAGGAGTATAATAAAATTAATATAAAATATCCTTGGCTGAAAATGAAAAATTCCTGGGAAAATTCAAGAAAGACTCGTGGAGAAGGCAATGTGAGAAAAAAGGTCGAACAAACTAGAGTAGAACACAAGAACACAAATAACGGAAAGTACACAAAAACCGGAGGAGAGCTTCGGCGGATGCGTTTTTCCGTTTAAAAAATTAAAAATTACACCAGAGATCTCGAGAAATTCAGAACTGAAGGCCTCCAAAGGGGCTTCCAGAGAGAATTAGCTGATGGTAGAAAAAGAGAGATAATTGAATGAATAATTATAAACTCATTTTCAACATATAGGTCGCCGAGACTAGATGGTCTTGTATCATTTAAATATATCACTACTTGACGAACATATTCAATTGATCATCAGGTGAAACATGGTTCGACAGATGGTTAATGAAAAAACAGATTTCAATAAAGATTTTTTTGAACACCGAAAAATTAAAATATTCTTACAAGAACAAGGAAGAGCTTATTGTTGCTTTCTTGGAGATTACGTCTCTAGAATCAATTAATTATCTAGGCGTCGAGAAGAAGTGGGTATAAGAAAGATAAGCTGCAAGTGGATAGACTATACACTAAGAGGAAGATTGGTATACACGACCATCATGGAACAAATATTAGTGGAAGAGATTTCAAGGGGATGTCAACGTAGTAAAGTTTTGTTCACACTATTATGGAACCTTGTGATGGACAAATTACCACGTCTCCTGAACACAAAGTACTGAGTTGGGCAGACGACTCAATCACTTTAGTCTGAGGAAAATACAGCATGGCCTGAATAGTGTAACAACATTGACTAACTAGAAAGAGCTGAACATAAGCCCAACAAAATCGACAATAGTAGCATCCACCAAGAGAAGCAAGGCAGAGGGAATAGGACCTCTGAAACTTCCAAGTGAGGAAATACATATATCGGGGGCGGTCGAATACCTGGATGCGATACTACAGACGCTGACTTGTAGCACCTGAAGAAAGACATGAGGACTGAAATCAGGAAAGATGCTCAAATCCATGACAACATATGCATCTATGCTCTGCTCAGATCAATGCTATGATCGCTATGAACATAATTGTAGATAAGGACAGCAATTGAAACATCTTAGATGCATTTGAGATACTCCGGAATCTTTCTCCAATAATAAGAGAAGCAAGATTGGGCTAATTCAGACTGAAAAATTCACCAATTTATATGGGATCAAGCAGAAATCCTGGAATATGTGAAAGAACGAACATCAAACATGTTCTCGGATTACATGACACAAAAAAACATGTTCGACACAAACTTTGTGGTAAAAGTATCACACTGCGAAGAGAAGAGAACGAACAGTCACCCTCGAACATGCTTAGCACACCTTGTATACATGTTTACAGATGAGTCGAAAACCAAATATGGGACAGGAGCTGGCATCTACTGTGTTCTACCCTCTATGTCAGTACACATCAGTCTTTCAAGCTGAGGTGTATGCAATCTTGCAATTCGCAAGGAATATCAATTTGAGGCCTCAAGGAAATGAGCAATTCAATATTTACTGACAGTCAGACTGCAGTTGAGGCCCTACTCAACCCTAAAGTGAAGAAATACCTTGAAAACTGGACGTATCACAGGCAAAGAAAAAGCTGATCCAAACATGGATCATCAACTTCATATATCGGCCCTGAAGCAGTTGTCGGGTTACTAAAGTGTTTGGTACGGAACTAGTTCGAAAATTAGATATCTAAGAAACATAAAGAGTACAAGGTGAATACACCCGGAACACATAAGGAAAGACTATTCTAAAGGGGCCGTCCGAGAAGAGAACTGGAGAACTGCTTCCACAAAGCAGGGATCGGTTTGGAACAATTAGATGGCTACTCACTGGACACTGTACTTCAAAAGCACACATGAACAAGATATGGTGGTATGATGGAGACTCTAGCTTCAGGCAATGCAACGAAGGAAAATAGAGAGCTCATCGTATTTGATGCGAATGTGGGGCACTGGTTCACAGGTGGAAAACAATTTTCATAAATTGTTTTCCATACAACACAAATTATATCTTGATTTCAGTGCCAATAAATCTTACTGAAGTAGATAAAACGAAATTGTTAAAATGGGTATCTTGAAGAAAATAGAAAAAAATGCAATAAGTCAATAAAGCTGCCGTGTCTTTCGGAAATTTTGAAGGAATGGACAACTCAGACGTTTCTTTGGACTACTTTGGTCAGTTACAAAGATGCCACCTATGAAATATACTGAAACTGATCTTTCCATTTCGAAATTTTCATTGAGAATCATATTCATATATTATATCGAAATCACATTCGAATCTATTTTCTCAGATGATGACATTTGTCAAATTTTTTATCTATCACCGTTTCGATTGTGTGAATGAATGGCATTTCTTTCAATGATTCAAGTTTAATTAATATAAAATTCCTTTACGGAAATAATATTTCCATTATTAGTAATTTTATTTGAGATCTTCTTATACATAGGAATCACACGTTGAAAGTTAAGACCTCGCTAGTCCTCAACTCGCACAAGTTTCGACTTTTGAGAGTTGTCGTTCATAGCGGTGCGACAGCTGGCTGAAGGGAAAACAGATTAAAACAGATTTCTTTAACAGATAACATATTGTTACGATGAATTGATATTCTGTTCAATCATTTATTTTTCCATAATTCCTATCATTAGGGGCCTGTTTATCACATCACATAAAATGAATATGCAAACTATTCTCTTACAGATTAGCTTGCATTCGCATATTTGGCTTTTATAACTTTTTTCATTATTATTTTCTTTGTGCTTAGATTCTGATTTGTTTTTAATATCGAGCAGTAGAAATTGGATCTTCTGAATTTCATGAAGAAACATTGTCAAACAATTCGAAACAAATACATAGCTAGTTCGATTAACTACAAGCAAAAAACTACATTCTGGTACTGAGATTGAATTACCAGTGACAGCTGGTTAACGAAAAAACAGAACATGTTCCATAAATAGTTTTTCATTTCACAATGACACTAAAATCAGTTAAGTGAGATTAGAAACCATCTTGTGTGTTCTAATAATGATAATCAAGTCAACAATTATCTGTTCGAGGACCAGGGGTCAGTAACAACATGAAATTTCACATAATCTTTCGATAAATTCTCAGTTAAATGTTAACGCGTAAATTGTGACATGGGGAACTTCACTAACCTACTTCTGTGCGTCTTATCAATCTGTATCGGTGTTAGATCGCAATACCCCAATTATCAAACTCAAGACTCCTCCTTCGTCTCAGGTGGTCAACAATATCAACAACCCTCTGGGTGGCAATATTTTACTTCATATGGTTCACCTTCACAGACAAACTACGTGCCTGTCAATACACCAGGAAATGTTTACCAGGGAGGTGTAGGGCTGATATATCCATACCCATATGCATCACAAAACATTCCATCAGGTACACAGTTCGTTCCTGTTAGCTCCCAAGTTAATCCTGTAGGATCACAGAACTCACAATCATCAGTCGCAGACCCCTATGCCGGTGTTAAAACAGAAATTATCGATGTTGATCCTGCAGAGTTCAGAAGACTCATGACTAGTCAAGGATTCCAACCACAAATAGTGTCCTACGAAACAAGGAGAATAGGCGGTATTTTTCGGGGGTACGCCCACCGACCAAGGTATATCGTTAAAACCGAAAATAAACAGTCTAATGAAACATCTCCCTCACAAGGCGTCAGTAAACACGAGGTTCAGAGTAAAGTCACCTCCTTCAATAAGACTTTCGTGATTCATCCCAATGAGAATGGAAGTAAAATTCTCAATCTGAATTTCGTAAATGGAGTCCAGGTGACAGAGGCTCCAGAGGCTGCTGAAGTACCAGAGAACCTTGAAGAAAAAGACGGAAATGAGGAAGAACTCGAAAATAACGAAGGGGGCGAAACTGAAGAGAAAAACGAAACTACCACGGTAAGACCTACAACAAATATACCAACTACAACGGAAAATGAAAATCCAGAAAGTGTTTTATCTTGGATCGGCTAATATAAACAGATTGTATTCCATATTGAATACGTGTGACACTGTATTATAGTTAATAAACTGATTTCGATTTAATTGACAATTATTTTCACCTAAGAAAAATATCGAGGTAAAACTTTCTCACGGGGTGCTTCAAAATTTCGAGTTGGTTCACTTATGTGGTTGGTTGGAATGGTCATCGTTTATTAGCCATCTGAAGAACACTTCGAAAAGATTCATTATAATACCAAATTTTTCACGAAGTCATATGGCAACCCAATCTATATTTTTTTAAATGAAAAACTACGTATATCAGTTTTCAAATCATCTCGTGATTTCTTTTTATAGAATGTAAGAATTTAATAGATGGTGACTCAAACTTTTTTGTCAGAATTTCATACTTGTGATGCACTATTTGGAACCTTTGTTGTAGTAAATAATATTACTGGAGTTATATCTCAAACTGTTATTTTATCACCTTCAAGAGGAAGATTGAACAGTAGGTAATATTATTTACAGAATTTCATGATAAACAATAATGTCAATAATACATTTCGAAGTAGCTATACTAGTTTTCGAAATATTTTATTTTTTTTGTAACTCTCAACATATGATTTTGACATCGAATGAAACATCTCGCTTGGATTTTCTTTGATTTTCCAGAATAGAACGAAAAAGAGATCTAGCTAAAAATTCAACTGTTCACTTTTATCAGCTGCCTGCAAAATTCTAATATTTCTGATACTTCAATTGAGCAACTGATTCCTACATTGTACAAATCTGTTTTCGATACCGTGTTCATTCATTCAATATTAAACGTCATTCCATTCGATGATGAGTTTACAAAAATAGTAAATCGTGATCAACAAATCTATAAAAGGTCACATATTCGATACCTAGGAAATGAGGATTGATTTTATCAATGATTGAATATTGTAGTAATCACTTCTAGGAATTATTCTATGTTTTGTGTTACAAAGAGATAACGTATCCGCATCTAGTCAGTTTTCTCGGATTCGTACTTATCGGTTTCTTCTACTTCGAAGAATCATATCACTGTAATTCCTCTTGCAGGAAATATTGAATCATTTCTATTGAACGCGTTGTATAAACGCATTTTTCACAAATATCTGTATGTTAGTTCGGAAACAAATTCGTCATCTTGATTTTGAAACACTTTTTCTCAGCCTATTGAGCAAAAATTTTGCATACATCCTAGTTTGGATGACAATGCATGATTAGCTAACTGACGTCATTCTACATCTAATATGGCGGATCGTCAAAAATGTCGAACTAGGTTGTATGCATACCATCGATATGAGTAAAAAAAATACGAAAAATAACATGACTTCATTCAAAATCCAATAAGGCAAAACGCCCAAGATGATGAACTAGTTTTTCAAGTAACCCTATGGTATATGTATCAAATGGAAGGGTTTGCTGGAAAGAATACGAAATATAACATGACGTCATCATATACACTCCATATAGGTATCAAATGAAAGGGTTTTGAATTCGATATGACGGACTCTCCAAGATGGTACACTGAGTGCTTTTATGCACCCCCATGTAATGGATATTGAATTGAAGAATTCAGGCGGAAAATATTCGAAACTTTTTAAAAAAAGATGACTTCCACACCAATTTTGAAGAGTTTCGAACAAATGTTCTAAGGACCGACTATGAAACAATGACGCATGAAAATGAACAGACTGAAAAATATTTTCAGCTATGTCTAAAAAATAAAACATTATCAATACTTGAAAACTTTTTTGAGCACAAGCTTCCATTAACATTGTCTGAAAAGAAGAAAAGTTCGAAATAAGTTCACATTCTTCAATTCATAACATTAGATTTTTTTAACAAGACACAAGCACTACAAGAAAATACTTGAGGCGTTTTGAGAGCGGTGCCTTTGCGAAATTAGCGATTTACATTGGATTTGAATCGCTGGAGATCGAAATCATGTGGAANTATGGAAATAAAAACTTTTCATAAATGCAAACAATTATTATTAAAAAGAAACACAATGTTCAGTTCATTTTTATTTTGTGAGGTACTGAGACTGATAAACTTAAGGAAAAATGTTTTCGTTAACTTATGTCTTCACACTTCACAAAATGATTTAAAGTAAAATTGGTTAAAATTATTAATAAATAGATAGATTAATAGATAGAAAGTTATATGAGTGATATAGTCATATTCATTATAGTTCATAGGAAATTCAAACATATAAATCGAAAAAAAATCCTGATTTTTTCAAAAAACTAACTTGGACTCCAAATCTAGAACTACAAGCAGTATTCAGAAACACAATGCGTTCACACAGGAAACTTATTTTTGATCAAATTCCAAGATTATTATTCAATGGATCAGAAATGAAAATTTCAAAACATTGAATTACGTTTCCCATTGAATTGAAGAAAAACAGTCAATGAATTTGAATACCAAACAAAATAAATATTGTTCATTATGCAACAAGAAATTAGAAAATGATACAGTTTGAATATTTCATATGATATCGCATAATAATTGCATACATTTCACCCATGTATATGTACATGAATCACAAAGAAACATATTTAAAAACGCGCATCAAGCAACAGTTTATTGTGAATGAAGAAGAAAATTGAAAAATGTACACGTTATATTATTTTCAGGGAGAATAAATAACACGTTCATAATAATTCACAGAAGACTGTATAATGGAAAATAATGGTTTCCTTAACCAGAGTTAGATATCGACTCAAGTGAATTTGATTTGGCAACACTGAACTAAATTTTGAGTTCACGTCGATACAGTCACTTGCGATAACTTGTTCCAATCATCAATTTTTGTTACTATTGAATATTTCAGATTGTGAAACAAACATTTCGTTATCTTCATTTCGAGAATCTTCATTTGATGAACTTGAAAATACATGAATTGATAACCCAATACATATGTATCCACAGGATTCAGATTCATATTTCCCGGAAATTTTCAATATAACTTTGTGATAATGGGCATATAACACGTGTAAACACATACTCAGATTTCAGTTAATGATATACGATCCAACTAATTTCCCTGAATGTGATAGCATTTGTAGCAACAATTGTGACGATCAACTACAGATATTAAACAGGAAATTGCCATTTCCTAATGCTCATCTACTCATTATTTCACAAAATTGCATGTGATTGAAGTATCCTTCATGTTGTTTCTTACATCAAGGGTCTTCCGTAATTGGAAAAACAAAACAAAATCTCTTTTTTGGATTACGATGAACTATGATGAAGAATGAAAAAAAAATATGCCAGTCAAATTAAACTACTCGAAGGGGTTGATGTACCCCTAACATAAACATGATTAGTTAAAATTATAAAACCTACATGCGATAAAATATGTAGAGTTCGTGGACTTAAGGATGCGCATGTGAATTAAAAAAGTTTTAAAAAATTTACTTTTGAAGATATATGGGGTGGAGGTTTCACTCCATAAAGAGTTTCATAATGCTTCAGAACATTCTAGAATATTTTAAAGCATTCCACAATATTTCGAAACATGCCGGAACATTCTGGATTGAATAGTCTGCAACGTTCGGGAACGATGAAGAGAGCTTTACGGTGTGGTATCCCGTATCCAAGAAGAAGTTTGTTAACATTTTTACCTCAAGGACGTGCCTTTGAAGATAGACAAGCTGAAAGTTTCGGCCTCTAGAAATTTTTAGAACAGTCCTGAACATTTAAGACTATGAAAGAGTATTCCATCGGTATATAAAGCAAGAAACGTCGACTTTTCCTTATTCAAAGTTTATTATTTTTTCCAACTACCACACATTATCATATCAACTTCTAGAACCAAGCAGGGTACCGCAGCTAGTAACAAACAAATAATATGACCTGGCATAAATTTCACTCCAATACGAGTAAAAGCAAGTCCAGAACTATCAATTTTATTTTTTTTAATAAAGGTCAAACTGAAATGTTCACCCCGAAAAGTTACTGCATAATATAAATCACTGAAGAGTCCAATTAATCAGTAACTTGTTTCTTTTGATGTATGTCAGAAGAATTAGAGCTATTCATAATTTGAGGTGAAAGTTTCAAAATGACTTTTTAAGGTTTTGAAACGTCAACCACTAAAGAAAGCTGAGTATATGTATTTGATTTCTCTCAATCGATGTTTTCGCTTCGCAGGCAAAATTTATGAATTCTGCAAGTTACTGACAAATTGGACTCTTCTGTGAACTTTTCAGTTTGTCGTTTACTACACTACAGCAGATTCTCAATTGATTTAGCTTTGTTCATTCTTCAGATTGTGGAAGGTAATATACTCATAGAAACAGTAAGAAGTATCAATTGCAATTTTGAATTTGAATTGCATGGGGCAAGGGACAGTTATAATGTACCCAGGGGAGGGTCGGATAAGTTGACGACGTTAACAGAAAAAAAATAATTTCAGCTTGACATTTGAATCATTTTCAAAATTGTTTATTTATATACGATAATAAACATGTACCACACAAGAAAATATGAAATCGCATCCAAAAAACTTAAATTTTTTGTTTACCATAATAAAAAAATATGTACTTGATCAATTCGTCATCTTACCCGAAGGTGGGCTAAGATGCCGCACATATGCGGGTAAGTTGAAGTATATTAGCATAAGTCACATATAATTGCTTGTACACCGGAATAATCGGTACAAGATTCATGCCACCATCTCAAGCATTGCGAGCACTGAATCCAGTCTTCTTTAGGTGGATCTTCGAAGCGTTCATCGCAAGCAGGACATAATATAATTTTTTCGTTTTTATTTTTGGTTTCGCATGTTTTTTTTGTTTTTTGTTTCTTTCTGATTTTTAACATATTTTTGTTTTTTCACTCGTCTTGCATCTTCCTTCTGCCTTTCATTTTCTAACTTCTCCTTCAACTGTCTTTTCATAGCCGTGCTAGTGATAATACTGGCAGTCATTTTTAACCTTATCTGGTCGTTCATATTTTGGGAAAGGCAGTATGTTTAAGAGTGACATAACTTTTTTTCCCTTCTCTTTGTCGGTTTCTGTGACGAAACTTTCAGTTGAGTTTTCAGATGAGGCGTGGTTCTGGATTCCACTTGGACCGGGAGTAGCGTCAAACATTTCCGATGAAATTATGGTTTCGGTTTGGATTCGGCTTGAACTAGAATTTTTTTGAAACATTTTCTTCTTAACTTTGGATATGGCCAATGTTGTGGTTGTGCAGGAAAGTTCATTTTTATTTGGCGTCTCTTCATCCGCTGAATCATCAAATGATTCCATATCTAATTGTCGAATCTTATAGTTTTTTTTATCAAAAACAGATCTCTTCAAATCATTTTCATCTGAATCATCTAGTGATTCACTAGCTGCTTGTCGAATTTGCCGTTTTTCTTTTTCATCTCAAACAGATCTCAAATTATTTTCTTGTAGATAATTCTCCTTCTCTGTTGTTTTAGCTGCGGCATATTATTTATCGCCAAAAATGAAGGGATCGAATGGTTCAATCCCGCACTTTCTGAAATCGTTAACCGCAATTCCAACCGTTGCCGCCTTCAGATATGAGTTATTAAAAATTCTACAAATATTTTTATGAGTGATTGTTTGACCAGGGTTACTGACAACAAAGGAATCGCAATCTCGACAAAAATATGTTTTCAAAGGCCCAAAAAAAGACACATCTAAAGGCTGTAATCGGTGTGTAGTGTGTGGCGCAAATTCTATCATTACTATTCCGTTTTCTCGACAATAGTTGATACCTTGCAATGAAATGTGGGAAGAATGAAATTAAACCAATAGAAGCACTGGATTTTCAGGTGTGGGGGCTGGTGGTGCCCCAAACAGCAACTTGTCTTTCATTTGTATTCTTCCGAAAATAAAAAAGAAGGGACATAATGTCCAAGTGCGTTTGCGGCGCATACTACAGTTGTGTTCTTGCCATGCTCTGCAGTCACTATTCTTGCAATACATCGAGCCCCGGTAGGACTTGAAATCTTTGGTAGGCACAGAAGATAAACCACTTTCGTCTGCGTTGTAGATACGACTCGCCTCAAAATTGTATTTATCTCGAACTTCTCGAAGGATGTGAAAAAATTTCTCCACAGCAATTTTGTTGAAATCCATAAGACGTCCTATCGATATGAGCTCGGGAGTTCTCAGGCTCATTTTAAATTTCATCAGAAAAGACTTTATCCAATCTTTGCCTGCCATTTTTGATGATTTATTAAACCGATGTGAAATGTTGTTCTGCTCTGCATAGTCAAATGCTAGTCTCCCGAGCTGAACTTTTGTAAGCCCGAAACCTCTTCTGTCGATATCTGTTATATAGTTGGCAGGAGACTGACTTTGATCTGAACTGAAAGTATTGCGATATCTTCCACCATGTTTTGGAAGTGCTGCTCCTTCTCGATGTTTCTTTATATAGCTTCTTAAAGTTGCCTCGGGGATATCGTAGCGTGACGCAGCACTATTTCAAGATTCACCACCATCTACTGCCTCCAACGCTGCAATCTAACTCACTTCGCTCCAAGACCGCCTTTCGGACCTCTTTGTATATTTTTGTGGCATTCTGTAAAATTAAATGAATTTACTGTGCGAAACTTTGTGCATGGGTAAGATGACGACCTTGTGGGTGAGTGCGGCTAAGATGACGAAGTTCGTCATCTTACTCGCACCATCTTACCCACACCATCTTACCCGTTGAGGTTATGTTTGAAGCCGGAGAGCATATTCCCACGACAAACATGATATCGATAATAATTGTAGTGATATGCTATGAAATACATTAATTACTAGTAATTGAGCACAATCAAATGTCAACATACCTTCAAAAATTGGTTAGGATGCTTATTTAACAGAATGGTTATGTTAGAGCAGATAAGCGAGGTTCACTCATTTCTACTTCAGCTGCAAACTGTTCCGCAGCGTTGGAGGGTTGCGTTCCTAACTTAATTCCCCTAATGTTGGCGAGATTGCGGCACCATGCAGAAAACCTACATTGGTACGTTTGAAGAAATTACTAGCCGTTCATCATCTTACCCACTTCGTCAACTTACCCGACTTTCCCCTACATAAAATGCTTAAGGTAACAGGAACTAAATCTGCATTATTGTAGAAGTATGTCTGTCTGTTTTTCTGTTTTTTCTGTTTTTCCGTTAATCAGCTGTCGCCCCATACGAACGACAACTCTTAGAAGTTGAGAAAATTGTGCGAGCTGAGCTTAACGTGTGATTCCTAACACGGTTGCAGAATCATCCCAGCTTCAACCAGATAAATGGTATCGAGAAAAATATCTGGTCGAGGCGGGAATCGAACCCAAGGCCTTCCGATCGTGAGTCGGGCGCACTACCACCGCGGTCAATTCCACAATGTGCATTACTTTACTAGTTATCTGATGATTGTACCATTTTTTTATTCATGCTTTACTCATACTATCCCATTGATAAATGCGGATAGTTATTATTATAATTATTAATGTTAATTCAAACAATGAAATGGTTACAGCGGGCCATATGAGAACTTAGAATTTAACGGCCAGAGTCACATTTGAAGAGAACAAAATCCGGGCGGGTCAAATGGAACCTGAAATACCAAAGGTTTCGTTTGCCACTGCGATAGACATCATCAGTGGCCATACACACTGATGACGTATGTCGCAGCAGGGTACGAAACGTTCAGTACTTCAGGTTCCATTTGTTCAAGGCCCACCAGCCAGGATTTTGTTCTCTTTAATAGTGGGATATTCTCGAAAGATATCGCTAATAAATTATGCCAATTAAAATCGAATCAAAAACAAAAATCATTAATTTCCAAACAACTCACTATCTAATCAGAATATGCCAGAATGAATATTCCTCGAATAAACATTCGTCTAGAATGTATCAAAATGATACTGAGCGGGGTATTACTAATAACTGTCATATGTTTCCAGATATCCTCTACAACGGCATTGCCCCCAAAAAAAGGTGGAAGAAGGTTCATAGACGTTCCAGGGGGATGTGAAGAGGGTGCAGGTTTTTCCTTCACTGGAGGAGGCTGTTTCGATGTATTTCACCTTGGGGTGAATCGAACCCAAACCAATACATCTACCACAACAAGGTTAGTACAATAATCATTCGTAAAATAAGAACATGGGGTTTCATGACCAGAGTTATAATTACACAGACCAAAAACCAGACTGATAGGGCGTGGTCGAATGGAACGTATAGTACCAAACGTTTCGTCTGCTACTGCAGCAGACACCATCAGTGGCATATTATAAATTGTAAATGATGTTGCCAGCACTATTATGTTTTTCTAGAAACAAATAGGTGGAGTTGAATCTCAAAATGATGCTCTAGTGTGTTAACGTTGTTAACGTTCGGTAGCTTAAAAAAGTATGTCGAATGCAAAGAACTTTAGTGGTAAAGATAGTTTTTTTTCAATTGAAAGGGGTATATTTTTAGGACAGATTAATTTTTGGGAATTTTTGGCTTTCTTTTTCTCCATATTTATACCAAACGCAACATCAAATGTCCATCAGTGAGGATGACAGTGCTCCATGTAAGTGATTTTTCACCTCTTTCATTCACTTTATTGTGTAGCAATCCTGTAAATGATATCTGATACTATTCCATAACGAATATTTTGAATAAAAACTGAATAGAGAAAAGTGTTTCTAGTATAATTCAGTGTTCAGCACCTAAGAAATGGCGAACAAGTTCCAACGTGTTATATATGTTTTATCAGAAAAATCAATGCACCCTTCGTTTATGGATTGCGCCATAATAACAAAGTATTGCGTCAGCCACTACAAAGTTACACAGGAAATGTCTCAACATATTCAGCACATTTCCAAAGTTTTTCTAGAATAATGGAAGAAACGCACGCAGTTTTTGATCTTATAAATATGGGAGAACAAGAGGATGCCGCATTCTTGACTAACTTCGCGACACTCCAAGTTCGTCGAATCTTGACGCCGGCATGATCTAGGCTAGGAGATGACTTAAAAAATAATTATATTGAGTGATAAATCGGACTATACTCAACTATTAGATTCAAATGACATAATAACATTGTAATATTCAACGAAAGTCTTTTTTTGTGGAGGAAAATCAGTTACCTTCCAAAATCTGAAAAATATAAAAATTATAATGGAGAACTTCATACAAGTGTAGAAAGGGCAAACTTTTCAGGTTACCCCGATAAGTTACTGCGTGAAATTGAAGTATTTTTCACAAAGAAAAGTGTTCTATTTATCAGTAACTTGTCGTATTTGGTAAGAGTACGGCTCTGCCGACCTCTAAAAACCTGATTCGGTCCCCAGCGGGGCAGGCAAAAGGTATATGCTCTGCTGTTTCATCGTTGAGTAGGTAGTCGGCTAGTCAAGGTGCAAGATTCCCACCTTGATAACCGCGACAACCTTCCCATGAGATGGTTTTTGCACGTCAGATGCAGTTGACGATGCCTTAGATTCAACCGTGCATTACTTTCTAGCCTCTGGTTTTGGTTAATCATGTATTGCGTGTCGAGAAAAGTTTCGCAGTTCTGGTGTTTGGGATCAGCAAGAAATAATACATTTCTTGTATTTTCATCGACCTCTTTTGGGTATTTTCACCTTCCACAATCTGAAAAATATGAAAATTGTAATGGAGAACATTATACAAGTGTAGAAAGTGCCAACAAGTGACAGTAATGTGTCATATTCAATAGTTATGCTCATCAAAACTTGGCTAAGAAATAATACAATACTTAATCTTAACGTTCGAAAGCCAAAATCTGTCTTCGTCTTCAGAAGTGGACAAAATTCAAGTAAATATGCAATTATTCCTTTTATTTATCAACTTCTTCTACATATGTCAAAGGAAGTCGAAGAAAAACTGATTTTCTTCCACAAAAAAATTACTTTCGTTCAATATTTCCTGAGTTTGACTCCTCAATGAAACTTCATATTATTCCTTCTATAGATTCAAGACCCACCGATGTAACATTTTTTGTGATGTATTTTGATTTCAGTCCAACAGTTTAACAGAAAAGCTAACGTGTTGTAATAAAATACGGGTATTTTTCCTCGTCTTGTTAGTTTCTTCATATATTTGTATAATGGGTTGCCTGCCACAGCAATCCTTGGTCTGTTTGAAAACCTCGCACATGTAGCCACCGTTTTTATATCGAAAACTGTGTTATTGAATTGCGTCGGAAAAGAAATTTGTGTTGGAACAAAATAAAGTATGTGCTGGTGACTTTCTCTTCAATCGCGACAGAGTAGGTACAGTACGAGTATAGCTAAAATATAATCAACAAGTTCAAAAACATGAAAAATAGAGATAAAGGTTCTAAAAATATGAGCGATAGCTCATTCGATTCGGAATCACCTCTAGAAAAATGTTTTTGAAGGATTTTGGTGCAGGTAAAAAATTGCAATTGTTATTAACAAAATAAGATTGAAAAATGGTATTTAGTTTTTCGTTAATAACTCAAAAAATATTGATATTTTGGAAATTTTGAAAAAAGCTCGTTAAAGGGGAGGAAATTTCCCGACTCCCAAAACTCTATCTCCATTATTTACAATTTTAATTTGACGTTGAGAATAGGGTTCTGCGCGGCTGTTACGGCATGCGCGCGCTGTCGCTAAAGAGAGTTTATCAAAAGAAATAATTTTTTTATCACATAAAATGTCGTTTTGAAAATTTGAAAAAATCTAGTATCTTCTTAATACTTGAATGAATCGAGTCCCGTAGAAAAAAAAGTTTCATCACCATTTTTCAAAAAGTTATTCAATTGTTGACTAACAAAATTTTTTCCAATCTCCGTTGGTATAAATAATGGGATAAAAGGTATAAATAATTGGCCTATAAATTTTAAACTTCGTGGAGTCTCCATTATTTATAATTTTAATTTGACGTTGAAAACAGAGTTCCGCGCGGCTGTTACAGGTTCCGCGCGGCTG